ATATAGATTATATATAAATGTTAAAGTGATACGAGGGACTGATTGAGTGTACTAGACCGCAGCCGTGTAAGTAATTAGGCTCATACGAGAGTAAAGTGTTATCAACAGTTTTGAGTAAATATTCAGTTAAGTGCGCAATATCCTTTTATAGGAAATACGAGGACAAGAATTGTATGGACTGTATGCTTTTCCTACTATTAATAATAATGAAGAGAGTTTATTTTCAAGGCGTTCAGCCATTTACAGTAATTTTCCCAATTTCCGCTATATCTACAGTTTAACAATATAGAAAGTACAAGATCACTTGTAAGGGTTTAACGTCCACTCAACACAAACTAGGGCATTTCGGGACTAACACATAGTACAATTTTATTTCAATAATTCTTTCGTGCGTGGGGGTCTTTAGCCATTTGGGGAAACACGGGGGGGGGGGGGGTCCCGAGTAGGCGACCCTACAAGATTGTCTATTAACCTATAGTACCTCCTCGAGGAATTTCAAATTGCAAACTGAAGTCGCCCAGAATAGCTATTGGCCATATTCTCACTCCTTTTTACAGGCAAAACCGTCATCAGAAGAATAACGTAGCTGCTGGACTATACACATACTGTATTATAACATCGTGTAACAAATTACCGTTTTCTAGTCACGTATTAATGTCACGAATGTTTGTCATTCAGCACACAAAAGTACAACAGAAAATTGTTATCCACGAGAAGTTCGCCGTGCGAGTTCGCAAAATCCTTTATAATATAAATTTGAGAGACTGTCGCGTTATTATAGACTGATATATTGAGATTCACATATGGAATAGACAAATACCTGTGATCAGGCAATATCCACATGCTGGTTTCAATATACAATATTTCAACTTAAAGTAGCTAAGTCTCTAACTCAATATCATCCAAAATCTTCAACATTGAAAACACGAATTATTTGTCAAATTAAATCAACATTCATGTTGTGATCTTACCGGAAAAAGATGGGCTTTTGATAGCCAATATTTAAGACAAAATAAACATTTTACCATTGGTACACGAATCGTGTACCATAATGCGCTTCAGCCCCAGTTGTATCGAGAGACTCGAGGGACGAGGCTAGACACATTGCACCAAATCAAACGGCGTATGTAGACTGGGATAACCAGACGCTAGAAATTTGCACTCCCTTGAGACTGCTGGCTTATTTCGCCGAACATAACTGATTTGAAATTGGAGTAAAAACGGAAACCATTGAATGTAAATCAGTTTATATACATTCATATTACAGTATTATATGCGTTGCGACCCACTTTTGTCAATTTCTAGGTCCCAAATATTAGCGATTTAGCTCCTTTAAGATTCAACATTATGCGTGTTCCCATTTATAACGGTAAACACAATACGTAATTATGTTCTTACCCAAATTCGATTGAACGTTATCATTCCATGCCGTATAATAATTATACGTCTGGCACCAGATAAAGTGGGGATAAATACATTTTTCACTTGAATACTGTGTACTCAATATAATTTCTTCTCTTAGACACAGATTTATATTTTAAACAGAATACTTGAAACCAAACTCGACCATCTCAAGAAAAAGATAACGTAACGTTTTTCCTCAATCGACCCAGTTTTTATGCATTATTTTGAGTTTACACGGCTACCATAGTGAAGCAACTGGCATCCGGAAAATTTTAAAATACTGATTTTAATAATAATAATTAAAGTTCAAATAACAATACTAATAGCACATATTATTTCACGTATTTCTCAACTTCGGAAATTTATTTAATATATAACAGAAAAAATATGAACGATTTCAGAAAAGAAAATTTATACCCTCGGTAGGCGACAACAACCAGGTTGACAATCATTGGGGTTGGTTAACACCAGTTTATATTCAGTTGATTTTTAGTAATTCAATTCAATTTTAACTGATAGTCCTGTTGGTATTGCGATTTATGTGTTTAATTAGTCCTTTAACTTTGTATTTATTTTCCTGGGCCACGAAGGTTGTTTGGTTAAGACGCCAGAATATCTAGAGTTTGAATTCCAGCGCAGGCCGGGATAAACCTCTGAAACATGTCTTGTTTGGTTCCCACTAGGTCAGTAGTGGCGCCGTCTGAACTGACATCGAAAATATGTCTAATCTCTCGGATGAGACGAAAGAATTAATGTACCGTATACAAAGCATCCATTGGCAGTTGGTATTAGAAGAGTAAATGGGAAAGCTGCTGCCACAGGCAAATTGTCCCCTCGCAACCATACAAGAGTAGAACTTATCGTACTTTACACCATATATTATAGTTGTAAACAGTATTTAATGAAATGTTAGTGGTTACTTCGACAAGATACACCAGATAGTTAACATTATTAAATCGGATGTTTTTAGATTGCTGTAACTTTTGATTTAAAAGAAACATGTACGCAGTTAATAAAATTGCGTAACGTATTTGTAACTGAAATCTACAAGATGAAATACATATAAAACATTATATTATAGCTAAAAACATCAGTGACTCACAGCGTATCACATTCTCAATCACAGTATTCATCTTTTAATGCAGCTGTTATTTGAAGACGAAGAAGAAAAAAAAAACATCCTTAAAGACAGCAAAGCTTATCGGAAAATACTCGTGGCTCTTGAAAAATTCCCGAACTAAATTATAGTATCATTGGAAAATAAACACCTGCTCATTGCTCATCCCCTAACTTAGTATAAAAGAGACATTGTGCAGAGAAAACGTGTTTGGTAATGATATTTATAAATACAAGAACTTTTTATGTTTTTATTTTTTTTATGCCCGCTTTAAATGTAAATGTTCTTAATTAAATTCATCTGTCTATAATATCATTAATAATGTATTGTATGTTAATATTGTAATAAACAACAATAACAACGAAAACAGAGTAAATCTAGGCTCACCGCTTAATTGTTGAGCAGAAGACGCTACGCCCTATTTCATTTCAGCTTAAATGCTTATTACGAATGAGATCTTGTCACATAGAGGATTAAGGTGGCGGGGAAGGAATGTAGATGTAAATGTATCGTATTGGAAGCCTTTTTGTATTTCCAATATTCAGCAAAGTTTTCAAAAAAAAATTCTTAATCATTGGTATTTTAAAATGAACTATTTAAAACTCTGTAATACCCATCATTAAGGAACCGCGAGTACACCTTTGTAATAAACAACAAAGCGTCGTTTATGGCACTTACATAACATTTGGATCGGTGTCAGTTTTTATTAATATTACCATGATAACCGACATGGTTTAGAACATAAAACCCGCACTCTCAGATATACTCTGTTTGCCATAAAATAATTAGATTGTTTATATTCGACTGTCTTTTATAATTTTTATTTTTGTTCAATTCATTTGGTCAGTTTTCAATTCATTTTGATGCAATGTCACTTTAAGTACGCGTGTGTGTGTCTGTGAGCAGTCTAGTTGATCGTTTATGATGTTATCTAAGATTGTGTAATCGAACTGGCTATAAGCTTCATTATGTGTTTAATAACGGGAGGGACAGTGCTCGATTGACTGAGACCATCTTGATTACCGTTTGCGTGCAAAGAAACTCTATAAAATGGCAACAAGAAGAAATGTAGAGTAATAAAGTCAAAAGACTGTCTGACATTAATAAACGCCGCGATTTAATTTCCATTTACGACTGGTCAACATGTTTTGAAATAAAACAGAATAACGAACGAGGGTTTTTTTCATTATTCGATCGTGGTATAGGTGGTTCAGCTGTTGATTCAGTACTTCATCATTTTGGGCGCATGTTTCAATCGGCAGAAGTTTGAAACTGATTGACTCTTAATTTTTATAACTTTATTTTGTGTATCTGAAATATTAAACATTAGAGATTGTATATATAAAAGCTGGGGGTGGGGTATGTTATTTTCAACGACAAACTTTGGGAGATAGTATTGTTTGCTTCGTGATTTAGGGTGTAATTTGCGAACAGCGGGATATTAAAATGTGTTGATTTGTTGTTCTTAAATCTTCATTTTGTTGCAATCTGAAGTCCATGGAAGGTTATATGTATGAGCTCAGGGGGAGGGGGGGGATTTAATGACCAAATCAGTGATAAAGTTATGTTTTTGGTGTAGTTTGTTAATCCAATATTCTCTTTTGACCCAAATTAGCGTCGCAATTCATTTTCAACCGTACATATAATTCGATTAGTCGGACCTGTAATTGTATCACTTGACTTTATTTCCTATATACCCCTTTTCTGAAACAAATCTACTTTATACTTCAATAGGTTTGAATTTAGACTATTTTAGGAACGTTCTCTTATTTTAAGAAAATAGAGTTCCTTTTCATGTCAATGCACTTCGGGAAGTAACGGAGGTGAAAGAGAGAGGGATCCATTTTGAGTATCATCTAGCAAAATAAACCGAATTCTAATATGTATTAAAAATGACATGCAAGAACTCATCAATTAGCTCTATTTTTATCGGCAAAAGATGTACTAAAGCTAACGATATAAATGTTTGGCATCGCTTGATTATTAAAGGGACAATAACACTCTTGCTGGCTTGACAGCTCCAGAAAATAAAAAATAGCCTTATTCTAAGTACTAGATGTGTTAGTGTCCTACCTGTTGTATAAATTTTCCATTAAATCCTATTTTACTTGTCCAGTGGGTTCAAAAATATTTTTAAATCCAAGTCACATTTAAAAAGCTTTGCGTCAGGCTTTTCAAATCATTTAGTTGAATTTTTCCAATTTTTTAAATTTGGTGTGTTAAGATGAAATTTGTATCATCAATTAATTGGAATATTGTAAAATAGTGCAATTTGTTGACCAGAATAAAGATTGGGACATATTATTCAGTTACAACAAGAGTGGTATTGAGCCTTTTACAAAAATATCCCATAAAGAGTCTCGTCAAAGTTATTAGAAATGGACTGCTTGGGTTTCAGTTTTGACCTATCAGACGGTCAAACTTTTTATACACCACACTAATTTGCACAACTGACATTGATAATTTTCTATTCTTACAGGTCGATCGATTTACAAACCAATTAAAATGGAGTTGAAAAATGGCGGTCATATGATATGAAGTACCACTCATACTCAGATCGGTGATTAGTATCAAGTGTCAACATGGAACCAACATCCGGAATCAGGAGATTAACTCTCTGCCTTGTATGGACATTTACAGTGATGCATTATTCTCGGGCTCAAGAAACCGACATAGTATTCTATTTAGAGGAGGAGAAGCCCGCGGGGACATATGTCGGAAACGTAGCTACTGCGAGTGGAGTGGACCAGTATGTGAGCGACGAAGAACTCCCCTTATTAGAATACACCTTCCTCAATCCCTCCAATTCTAAACAAGCCGCATTGTTTCGGATTAACAGCAACGATGGCTCAGTATACACCACTCGAAGAATCGATCGCGAAGTGCTCTGTCAGAACTCATTAACCTGTGAAACCGAAGCGGATGTCACCATCAAATCCAGTGCCTCAATATTTCTCAAACTCTTCACCATCAAGTTTGTTATCGAAGACATAAACGATAATTCACCGATATTTACTAGGGATGTGATCACCCTTTACATTCCAGAATCAGCGATTGTTGGAACAAAATATGGTATCGAAGGCGCCGTCGATAAGGACATGGGGCCTAATAACTCAATACAATCGTACGAGCTCTTAAAACCTAACAGTGCTTTCGGCATTGAATCAGAGAAAAAACTTGACGGGAGTTCCATTGTGAAAATTGTTTTGTTAAAGAAACTGAACCGAGAACACAGAGATTTATATAACTTTTATGTTCTTGCCAAAGATGGCGGAAAGCCACAAAAGACTGGCAGCGTGGCCATTAATGTGAATGTGAGGGACGTGAATGATAATCCGCCGGTTTTTCACAAGGATAAATATACTATAAACGTTGCTGAGAATACTAGAGTTAATTCGATAATTGGACGCGTGAAAGCCACAGATAAGGATATAGTGGAGAATGGGCGCGTGTCGTACAGATTCAGTCCTTTAAGACCGAGTAAATTAGAAGATTTGCTTTCTATCAATCCAGTGTCGGGTGAACTGACGGTAAAATCACCTCTACAATACGAATCAGGTAAAACATACGACACAATAGTTGAAGCTACTGACAATGGTAATCCCCCTCAAGTATCCCAAACTGCTCTTATTGTTAAGATCATCGATGTCGGCAATAATCCCCCAAAATTAAAACTTAATCTCGCGTCTCCGGTTAATTCGGACACCATCTTGCAGTCCGAGGGGTCAATGGCTGGAACATTCGTCGGTCATATTAAAGTTGAAGACCGAGATCCGGGGTTGAACGGCGTCGTAAAGTGCCGCTCCGAGGAGCCGTATTTCCGAGTGCAAAAATTGGACGGGAAAGGATATGCTCTGTTGACAAGCAAACTCCTAGATCGTGAAAAGAGTGATAAACATTATGTGGAAATAGTTTGTGAAGACACTGGCACACCAAGTCTCTCTAGTTATGTAACTTTTAACGTAGTCGTAACCGACATCAATGATAACGCACCCAAATTCTTGCGCTCCACCTATTATGCTAACGTGACCGAAAATTCCCCCAAGGGCGTCCTTGTCACCCGAGTAGCAGCTATAGATCGAGACACAGGCGTCAATAGTCAGTTTAATTACAATCTAAACTGGGATTCGAATTCAATGTTTAAAATCGATCCCGAATCTGGGATCATAACCACGAGTGCAATATTTGATCGCGAAACGATGAAGCAAGTTAAATTCACTGTTAAGGCAGTCGACCAGGGAAAATCGTCTCTTGTGGGTTCCACCACTGTGGTTGTGAATATCCTGGACGAAAACGACAATACACCTATAATTGATCCAGAGAGCCTCAGTGTACGAGTGGTAGAAAATATCCCAGTTGGTGGAGATGTGGGTAAAATAACCGGCACGGATGAGGACGAGGGTAGAAATGCAGAATTAGAATTCCGCTTAAAGGATAAAGACCCTCGATTACCGTTCGTGGTCTTTGCTGATGGAACAATTAGAACAATAAAAAGTTTGGATCGTGAAAAGCGCGATAAGTATGAATTTGATGTTATGGTGACCGATAAAGGTTATCCCTCAAGATCTTCGCATGGCCACGTCATCATCGCAGTGTTGGATTTCAACGACCATTACCCGGTCATTGAGTTCCCCAATTCTGCTAATGACAGTGTTATTGTTCTTTCTGATCTTAAGCCAGGAAGTGTCATAACAAAGGTTATGGCTTATGATGAGGATTTAGAAAATAATGGACAATTGTCTTACTCATTTACACACGAGAAAAAACAAAATATGTTCTTGATATCGCGGGAAAATGGAGAGGTTAGTCTTGCCAGACGAATAACCCCAGATGATAAAGAATATATCCAGATGAGAATTTCTGTTCAAGATCAAGGCTCGCCGCAGTTAGAATCTCGGGAAAACCTCAACGTGAAAATAATCTTTACAAATGCTACTTTAGCAGCCAGAAAGACAGCGTCATATGGATATAAATATATGATAATAGCCGGTGTAGTGGCCGGCATTACTATCATTCTCTCTATACTCATTGTGGTGGCCATCATCAGACTCAAACGATCCAGCAGTAGGTACAATGGCAGAGAACGAACGGCTGTTCAAGAACAAGGCGACGACAAATCTGGCGAGAAAGAGGCCCTTAAAAATAATTCACCTAAACGAGTCACCTTGGCCAATGCCGACGAGGACACCTTTGAGTTCTTCATGAATTCCAAGATGGAAAAGGATCCGAAATTCAACATGAATAAATCTTCAGGTGGGAATATCTATGAACCACCACCAACTTCTGATCAGTATGGAAAACAAGAGTTCCTTACTTTTAAAAAGGTAAGATTAGTTTATGATTATCAAAATTTTGGAAGACTGGTCATTTGGCATTCCCACAGTAACAGGTTAAAGATTGCAATCGTGTTTAGATCTCTTAAATAAACGGCACCACAATATCATTATAATTATGTAGATCACCTGTCCTAACCTCATAAGTGTTCCTAGGGTTCTCCGAATTTCGCTTCATGGCTATAAACGATTCTAAAAGGCCACTAAATTCAAAATCCTTAACGGTACACTTGTTGTTATTATTAAGAACATAAGAATATTAAAAAATGTAGCAGAATTATAGCTGATACATTTGTCTAAAACACATAAAGATGTGTAAAACCATTAGAAACCAATGCTAAGATAAATGGCCGGAATAGTGATCAACAACATTATTATCGGCCTGCGCGTCATGCCGATCTTTAATACAAATGTTTTTTGATATATTTATTAATTAAAAATTAAATGCATGGTTTCAAGTGTAAAATAATGGTTATTTTTCTTCACGAACATTGAACATAAACAGCATTACAATTGGAACAAAGTATCAATTGACATGCAGTTTTCTTTGAAAATAAAGATATTATGTGCAACTATATGACAATATTTTTAGTTTGTTCAGTTTAAATATATAATTAATTCGGGACAAACAAAGTATCAATTGACATGCAGTTTTCTTTGAAAATAACGATATTATGTGCAACTATATGACAATATTTTTAGTTTGTTAGTTTAAATATATAATTAATTCGGGACAAACAACCTTTTGTCGATAAAATAAAAAGGATAATATCGACTATATTAAACTTACATAATACATTGAAAAGTATACCGCCATCTTTTTGGGGGGTCGGATGGCCGAATGGTTAGCGCGTGCGCGCTGTGTCATAAAGCCTGTCACTGAGTCAACTGGCGTGGTTTCGAATCCCCGGTTGTACGTGACAAGGAGTAGGGTCGCCTGTCCAACCACGTGGGCTTTCTCTGGGTCCTTCGGTTTCCTTCCACTGCTAAAGACCCCTACGCTCAAACGAATTATTGAAATAAAATTAAACCATATGTTAGTCCCGAAATGACCTAGTTTGTGTCGAGTGGACGTTAAACCCCATTTATCTCTCTCTCCCTCACCGCCATCTTAATTTGCATTAAAAGAAAGCTTTTATTCTTAAACGTTTTAATTATTACTTATGATATTTTTGAGAAAATCTAGTAATAGGTAGTTTTGGTTTTGATTATCTATACATGGCAAGTGTGAAAGCGTCCATTTAGTTTCCAGATATAAAGCGAAAACAACGCGACGCTCGGCGACTGTTTTACATCTGGAGACACGACGATATAATTGGACGCGTTCAGTCAGCATAGAAAACTTCCGATATTTTTCAGCGTAAGGTAACAGGTTCGTCTCATGATATTACAATAAAAGATAACAACAATGAATGCGTTATCGATTCAAGTGAGTATTCACTGTTTTACTTCGGAACAAAAATATAATTTAAAGCCGCTTATTGTCATGTGAGGGATTTTGAATCTCTTGCAAACTGCAATATTATGTTAAGTTGAATCTCTGAAATGAGTGTCCTGTCAAATATGGTTCAATTCTACTCAGTAGTCATAAACATAGGATGTATTACCCAACATTCGCTATACTCTTTAGATAATATAAAGTAGCCAACGAATAGTAAACTCTTTTGAATATAGGTTGTGGGATTATCTATCGTTGATATTGTGGTTTTTTTAATTAAACGATCAGAGCAATTTATTTGAATTTTAGCGTCGATTAAGCCGTGAACATTTTTCGATTTTCCGAACATGATAATGTCGTACAGGTTTAAAGGGTTTAAAAAGTGTGGATGGGGGAGCCCCGGTCAGCTCAATGCCATCGGCCCTGCCCATAACACTCTAGGCGGATGAAGAAAATTACTTCTAACTTTGTACAATTTCCACGTTTTATTCTTAAATAAACATATCCTAGTCATTATTTTATACCTTACCACGGGATTTCCCTGCGTGAATTTCCCTTGTCAGTTGTGCAGGAAAGGACGTTAAACTCCATTTCATATCATTAGAACATGCCGCACTTGCCATGCAGCTTGCATTCGATGTACTGTCTCCAGTTGTCAGATATAAGATACTTCTGCCACAGCAGACACATCAAATAAAGTGGCAAAGAAAGACTAACTTAATGTGCAAGGCTACTGTGAAACGTCGAACAAGTGTGAAATCATCTCTTAAGGAGGCGTCGAGGTATCTATTCAATAACACTACATCTGAAAACGATGCTAGAACTCTGGATGAACCTTATTGATTCATATATACTTCATTATAGCCCTGGGCACAAAAGGCAATTGAATTTATAAAAACTCAACGAATAGATAATGACAATTTTGATTTTTTGTTGTAATTTTCCTGCAACATTTATTATTTTAGGCGTGTATAACACGTGTGTTTTCGACAGCAGGTTTTCTTATTAATACAATCCGGTCTCCTGGGTTTCGTCCAACGTCTATGATTCATTAAATATTTCTACAATATCTGTCCTTTCTGGATTGTGTGAAGCCCGCACGCAATTTGAAGGACGTGTGTGTTGACAACCTGACATTACAACAAATAGACAGGACTTAGCATGCTAATTACGCCCTCGTAATTAGCATTATTCATAAAGCTTTATTAAAAATAACAGTCTTGGCGAAGCCTTTTCAGCCTTTCATTAACAAAAAGATAATTTGTTTGAGACCAGAGTGTGAAATTTGAATATTAAATAACGATTTGCAATTACTCTCTGATGAATTCTGTGTTAAAATGAAATAACGAAATATGACCTAATTACTTCTCTGAACTCATTTCAATCAAGTAATTAACACTACTGTTGGGTCCTAATAACAAAAGCTACCCGCATTGTAGTTTTGGAAATGATTGGAATGGCTTTGTCTGAAACAAAAGACATCAGTTAAATTCCTAAGCACACCCCAATAATTCGAATCTCCATATTTGGCAGTATGTAATTGAAATAAAGGATTTTAAGTACCTTCTTCATGTTGATAAATGTAAATAACCAGTATTCCGAGATAGTTATTGACGTTGTAAGTTGACTGTTACGTAGTGATAGTGTAGCCTATTGGGTCACAGAAGTGAAATGGAATTGGGGTTACGTCTTACTTTTTTGCACTAACCGGGCTATATTAGGTTACCATCTGTCACAATACCGTTTTCTGAAGACGTAGATACGCCAGGCTAATGCAGGTGAGGGGTTATTTTTCGTGAACGCCAATGTGTACACTTTGCCTCGGTATTTTTGCCCCATCCGAACGAATAAGATTAACAACCGCTGACTGGGCAAAATTCTCCCCAGCGTCTTGCACGGGGTAACCGTAGTAAATACATATTACCATGTGCCAATCTGAGAAACATCTAATAAAATGTCAAGGTGTTTAATCCTATCCCAATTTATTTCATTGCTTGCCATACACAGAAATATGATTGATGAGAAAAATGACATGGCCACTTTAGACACGAACTACAGAACACCACCTTTTCCAAGGTAATTGCATTATTGATAAGATAAATGAGGACGCTTGCGCTCGATATGCATATAACCTTCTTTTTTTATTGAACTGCATTGAAAATGGAACTGACAACTAATCTGAGCCGTGAAAGGCTATTTCATTATTTTGTTCTTAATGATTTTCGATGTTCATAACTTTTGATTGTTTTCGCTATGTATCACCTTCGCTAATGATGCATGGATGATTATGTTTATCAATGTCATCCAGCCAGGTTATGAATGGATGGAATTGAAATGGCGTGTCGAATCATATTTTTCTCCTCCGACCGGGGTAATGCAGTGTGTTAAATGAAGGAAATTTTGCTCGGAAAGCTGCGTTTCTGGATGCTCTTCGTCGAACTAAAACTGTCCTGTCATGGGTTCTTCAACAAAGAACTTTCATGGCCAACACCGGGATCGAGCCCAGAACCTACGGAGAAGTGGCCATCATTATCTCCGATGCACGAATAATAATGGTTGAATACCCCATAGTCAAAAGGCGCGGGGCATCAGTGTTATTCGCCATGTTGTGAATGAACTGTCGGTAAACGGATCGTTTTAGCGCTTGAATTAGGATTGTGAATTATTCATTGATAAATGTTAGCTTAGTTAATGTCCATGACCCCGGTCCCGCATCTTCTCCGTAAAGGTATTAATGGTATAATAAACGACCATATGAGTCATGACCATTGTAGTTACTGATGGCCGGCTAATCAAGCGAATTGCTTCAAATAAAATGAATAAAAATCATAAATGAAAGATCAAATATGGCAGGTTTAGTCGACTCAATGCCAGCGCTTCTAATCAACGGAGTAAATGTATCATATTACGTATTAAGAGACTCTTCTTTTTCTAAAAAATAAAGTTCGATTTCTGTCCATTAGTACAATATTGATAATCTGTCATATTACTTAATAATGACAGACAAGCCATGGAGTTTATCTTATATGGCCTAAGGTCTGATTTGACGATGATATTTTTGGTCGAATCAATTCTTACTTTGCCCCTTTCGCTCGATACCAGACAAACCGGTAGTTATCCAAGCTTTTTTTCAATTTAGGCTACATTAACCTACTATAAAAAAAGAGCTGATGTCCTTTGCCGTTTTAAAATGTCAATTAGAAGTATTTGATTTCTTCTGGGTATCATGAAACGCATCGTAGACGTCGACAATAAAGAAGGTTATTGTATACTCGCTGTGTTTTAAATTGCTTAATCTACTGCAAGAGACCATGAACTTGAATGTTTTATGTTGGCACTAAAAGGTCGTAGATTAAGTACGAAAATAATATGACTAGAATTTATATCCCAGACTTCTTATTACATCTCACTGACCACAGATCTACTGGGGTGAACTGGTCCTTGAAACTGATAAATAGTTAGAATGGTCTACGGTCTAGGGTCAATGACAATTGGCATGTATACTGGACAGGTCCTGTCTCAAGAAAAATCGCTTGAATGAAACTGAACTAAT